AAACACACTTGTTTGCCAGAATAACCTCCATTCCATAAAGAGAATAAGTGCATTCAAGGGTGAACGCTTCGAGAAAATTTAATCCTGTGTCAAAAACCTGAGCCGAAACTGGCAACCCGTGATAACAAGCAGAATAAAAGGATGACAATGGAAAAGAAATGAACTCTGACATTTTCGTTATAAGAATAGCGTCAAATTGGACGAGATTTTGTACACAAATTTGCTTCCAACTTTTGATTCCACTTTTAATGCAAGACAATATTACTCTTTATTAGACAAAGATCTCGTTAAAGTAAATTATATATAATGCTGTTTTTAGTCGTTTAGATTTCTAAATATAACATTTTATAGAGAAGAAAAACAATTGGAGCAAATTTAATTGCTTGTCAAAGCCGATATATCATGGAGTAATAATATTTATATATAAATATTTTCCTCTTTATTACATTTTAAATATACATGGATATCTTCTTTATATTAGTCTCTATAATTCTTTTAAGTAAATTTTTCTTGGAACTCTATAGGTGCATGTCGAGCGTCTGTTTTATTACTTCCCCTGCCATCAATATTGAACAAAAATGTATACTTTTATTTGCCTTAAAATCTATCTGTCGTTTTTGCTTAAAACCATTTTTAGAGAAATTTTTATGTTACAAATAAATTGCACATATTATAAGTCGTTAAACTGTTCACAAAAAATATTGTAGTAATTCCTCAAATTTTTTCTAACAGAATTTCTAAGCGTGAAAATAGATTAAAACATCATATAAAAATGATATCTGTCATGTTAACTGTTCACTTTACTTATAATTAATCTTTTTTGCACAATTAATTAAACTAAGGAACAAAATATTTTTAGGTAATACATTTTCTATAAATACGCTTGTGGTTTATGTCTGAAAATGAAGAGATTATTTGCGTTTACGGTATTCGCAATCATATTGAACCTTCTATCCACCAATATACGTGCGGTTGGTGATGCATTTCAGACACCTGCTGCTTATGCTACAGCACAGTCCGTCGGGAGAATCCAATGCGATTGGATATAGTTCGCTTCATGATCCGACTAGTTATATCGATAATCGCAAATGATAATAATTCAATAACTTACGTGTGACGTAGAATAAAAGTGGCAAGAGTATAGCTTCGCACTTACCTAAAACAAGAAAAGAAGATATTATGAATAGGCTGTTCAAAGAAATAAAAAAACTAGTAGTAGTAATAACACATGAAAATATAAAATATCTATAAATTTCTATCAAATATCTGTAAATATAATAAATATATGTATAGGTGCCTATAAATTAATTTCCCTTGCATGACAAATTTTTTAGTTTTAACATATGGTAAATGATGCCAACAAGATAAAATAAAAAAGCAATAAATTAAAATGTTATTAACAATATTAATCAGTAATGTAAATCAGAAAATTTAAATATCATTTTTAAATAATTTTAAGATATTTAACATTTTTTCAATTAAAGCAGATTTTTTTAAATTATTTGTAGAATAGGTATTTATATTTCTAAAACTTTAAATAAATGCATTATACATTGTTTAACAAGACCTGCAGTATTAAAATATAATAATAAGAAGAAGAAGAATAAATCTGTGCATATTTGAGAAAGAATAGCTTCAACCCGTTTTCAATTTCACTTTTAAATTAAATGGCGATTATGTAAATTAAATGCATAAATAATATTTCTTATTAAGTTAATTAAAGCTATCTCTCTCATTTAATTTCGTATTCACCCAGATGTAATCTTCACATTTTCAAATTAAATTATTGGAAATTAGTATAATGATTAAACTAAAATGATGATATCTTAAAAAATGAAGAAAAATAGAGGTGGGCATGAAATAACCAGGTATTCGAAAAGAAATCTCGTTTTAATCTAACAGTGAGAGCACTCTAAAGTTTTCCGTTAAAAGCACTTTAAAGGACTCGGCTGCTGCTTGAAAATGCAATGTAATGATCTCTCTGTGATCGAAAAGAAATAAGAAATCTCTTTTCATTCTTGCGCGTTCTTTGAATATTTTTAAAACATCTGTTCTGTAATATCTTAAAGTTTCTATTAAAAATAAAAAACGACATTTTATCATAAAAGGTAAAAAGATGAACATCAGCAAATGACACGACATTCCTTTCTAATGCCTGATGAAGTACGATTTATGTACGATATAAAATCACCTGAAATTACTTCACACACTTACACAGTTTTACCTAGGAAATTATATTATTTTCAAAAGTACGAAGCTCATCAGACAATATAACAACAGTTAAAGCAAAGACATAAAATACCCGCACATCTGTTTTAATAATGTGTATGACATCGATAAAATTGTAAATTTTGCCCCAATTTGCTTAAATGGCAGACATTAATTTGGACTTAATATTGCTATTAATTACCGAAGTTAATAGCTAAAGCCACTAAGCTTGTCTTCGAAGCATTTACGACGTTGTGCATACGTTCGTTTTCAACATTCTTGAATACAAGAACGGTCTTTGATGTTAAGTTCTAAAGAACTGTATTGTTCTATGTTACGAGTATGTACATACATTACACCTTCTCTCGTTACATAGTACATTTTCAATTTATGAAAATTATTTTACGTGCATATATACACAATACATATACTTTCAAGTTTAACGTCATTTATATCATTACACATCTTTTCATATAAATTTATAATCGTTATCGCAATCCACACATACATTGTCAGAATATCTACGATGTGTGGAATATACAAAGATTACGGAAAACATAAATGTTCATCAATTAATGTTGCATTTTCTAATACGAACGTCTAAGAAATTTGTTTTTGCAAAAATGCACGTTACAAACACAAATATAACAAATAACGTACAAGAGAAATAGCAAAAATCGCCATATGTTTGAAACTCAAAAGAACTTGTAAAAACTTTGTGAAAAATACAGTAAATAAAAGCAATGTGTTTAAGACATACGGAAAATCTCTCCATTCCTATTTCCAGCTTAACCAAAGTTTTCTCTTCCATCTCAGTCCCTTTTGGTAAAAGCTATGTATTATTTCATTGCGCCATGATTTAAACACAAGATTTATGGTTGCCGTACCATTTGTTATAATTTTCTTAATGCTAACAAAATGTTTAAGGTAACAAAAATTGTTAGACGACATTAGGCGGGCAGATGGTTTATTTGCTTGATTCCGACGTTTCAACCATGCGGGTTGTGGTCCTTTTCAAGGAATTTAATAATCTACAAGTTTTTTAGAGGACATTGTAACTTAAAATGTTTAAGATATCAATATTATATGTATACATCAGAAGATTAATATCACATATTACATAAGATTTTAAGATTAATATTATTACACAATAATTGTGTTCAGCCATGGTTGGATTTTTATACAAGTCTTACAAATAACAAGTTTCATCAGCTGCCTATAAAATGTTGTTGCACTGCTGTACAGCATTTATGTTGAATTTATATATCGCCACACTCAAAGTGCACTCATGGTTTTATTGCCCAACATGGTGTAGCAATCGCTATTGGTTTTCGATGAAATAACCATACGTGAGCATTGTCGATAACGATGATCGATAATCAAAAGCTTATTCTTTGTAGGGTCGTGTTACGATGCAGTCTCGAGACAAAGCAGCTCGGTGCTAGGCTCAATGAAAAAAACTGATAATGATATTATTAACCTCTCCCACAACACTTTTAACATTTTTATTTAAAAACATAGTCAAGCCCACTTGCCCATTTTATCTATATCAAAATGAGTATTAATATAGTCACGTTTTTTTTTTTAAACAGACGAGATAAAATAATATAATTTCTTCAAAAATAAAGAGAGAGAGAGAGAGAGATGTCTAAACATTCAATGTATAAAATATGATAAAAATTTCAACGATAGATGTTATTTTCTGTGAAGTTTGTAAATTATTATTTGTATAACAAGTAAGACTTTTGCAAAATAATGTATATGTACTCGTATAGTAAAGATATATATAATAGAAGTAATCTAGCCAAAATATAACAAAGCTTTCTATAGCAAATTGAATATAGAACTTGAACATAAAAGTACAAATAAATGAAAACTATGCAGGGAATGAAACAATGAAAGTATTGAAGTATAATAGGATTTCGTTCGTAATCATCTATTTCGAAAGTGTAAAACTTGATAAATAAATAACTTGGTAAATATTGTAACAAGAAATTCAGTGTGTAAATTAATGCACTTTAATTTTAATTTCCGACATGAGAAATTAATTCTAATCTTTAATATGAGAGGTTTTATTTTCTTATACTCAACAAAAAGGTAAGATTTCAATAATATCGCAAAATAGACTGGATTATATTTGAAATTATATCACAAAACAGTTTGGATTATATTTATCGTTATTCAAGTTTTTCTTTCCAAAAAGTGGCAAAATGAGAAAAGTTAAAAAGTGAGAAACATTCTTACCTATATAAAACTACGGACAATTGTATATTCCGTAACACAAAATAAATCGAGTAGCAATGATTCTTGTTCTCACATATTTGGAAATATAAAAAAATGTATTTCATGCCCTTAATAATAATATAGTACAAGTAATTAATAATAATATAATAGTATAATTTAGCTAAACTCTTGCATATTACTTTGCAAATTTTTAACATAATATATTATTATACGGCTACATTAAATTTGAAAAGCTTATTTTATGGAATACACACTCAATGAAACTAACATCATTATGAAGTAATTTCATAAAAATTTAAAAACTTGCCGACTCTTTTCATAACATGTGATCATGTACCTGAAACTATGCTGATTGTGAGATAAAAGAGTCTCAATTGGCCATGCAAATTAAATTCGCATTTATAAAGCCAATTTAACTCCTGGACTTCCGACAGGCTCGTAATAAACTTGTATTAAAATTGTCTAACGAAGCGTAACGCCAGTTTATGAAGTGGAATAAAGTCCACGGTATTCAGAACAGGAATTTCATTCGGGACAGAGAAACGAACCTTTCATCCAACCTGAAAGACGACCTAGACAGGTCGCTCCAGGCACTCATACTCCGACTGCGTCTCCTGCAAGACTGCTGCGGTGTTAGCAGTCTATTGCTGCTCCTTCGCCTAGTGGACGCCAGATTCTCTGCTTGAAAGTACACTCTAGGCGTTTTCTGCTGCGATGCGTTCGGTGGCGTCGAGGTTGGCGTGACCGCTGTCGAGGTGTGGAGTTCCGGCAAGGCCTCGTAGTCCCATGCTCTGCCGCCCATATCGAGCAGGGGCACCGACGAGGCTGCGCTGGAACTACGGAGCGGGTCCCGAGGCTTACGATGATGAAACAGGGCGAAGATCTTACAGCATTCTGACTCGTTCTCGTTCTCCTTCTCACTCTTCTTCTTCTTCGCTGCCGGCAGCGTCACTTTGAAATGATCGCAGGACGTGTGAGATCTACCGGCGACGTCCGGCCACATCGTTCCTTCGACCACATCGCCGTAAATCTTCTCCAATCATTTAGCAGAGTGGTTACAATTGGTCGAAAACATTGGATGAAACAATCCCAAGAAAACTGACCGATAACGGGGAGAAAGAATTGACGAATCCCGAACGTACATCTTGAGAAAATAATCTGCACTAACGTGTATTGCTCAATTGGCTTATTATAAATGATTTAAAATTTATTCGTTTTGTCTATGGTTATTGTAACGTTGTTGCTTCATTTCGCGAGGCTACATCGTAAATGCATAATTTTATAGCATTTCTGTATTCATATTCTGAGTAATCGTGTTCATTAATCTTGCACGAGTATAGTTTCAGTATAAGTGCATTTTGTGCACTCATTGTTCCTTTAAATTATCAAGTTTAAAGAGAAATGTCGACACAAATCTGAAATTCGTACTCCAACGTTGCGAGAAATTAGCAAAGCCTTTCCGTTTCCAGTTTTCTCAGAAGGCTTCAAAGAAAAATTCATCTAGAACATTAAGCTGCTTTCTTGATACGTAGCAGGCAATGAAATTGTGAAGAAAGTACAGATGTCTACTTAAAGTTGTTTCGCTATTTGTAAAAGTTGATTACGTTCTAGCCACGAAGTATTGTCTTTCTTCTAGAGGAGCAACTACAAATACTTGGCAGAAGTAAGTCGATGAGGGAGCAGCGAAGGTAATCTTTTGAGACCTATTCGTGATGAAAGAGACTCTCAAGCGACCTGAATAATTCCGATCTTGTGCTCGATCCACCGAGTAAATTTGTATTAGTCTGCTGCTCAATTGCTCTTTTTCTCCAAGTAAGATGGAAGACTTGCAGATGCAGTAATTTTGCGAGGTAGTTTCACATAACTAAAGTATTTCCTGCCTTGTTATGAGTATTGCAAGCTATTGCACGCACCGCTATAGTTGATATTATTTCAACTAATAAGCTCTTAATCAATAACAACATTCATAAAAATTCTGAAAAATTTCGTAACTCTGAGCATTAATTTCGCCGTGCTAATTACTGATTCTCACAATAAAGTGTTCACAAGAAACATTTACTTCTTAAAAGCAGTTTCTCAAAATTCTAACTTCCAACGAGCTTTAATAAATCTCACGTGGCTAACGTTTTAATGTAATAAATACTATCGACGATATTAATTTTCTTTTTGTCGACTATGTGGATAACAATTTGCGTCGGCTAGTCTTGATCACCGAAAATGCATCAAAAAGCGTAGTTCAGATAATAACGATCGAGCGTAGGAGTAACTTGAGGTTCTGTTTTTGCCCAACCGTTGTCAAACTTTGAGACGAGAATGAGAAGTTTCATGAAGCTTGCTCTTTTTGCACCACTACTTTTAACATCAAGTGACACTCACGTTGAAAACTATTGTCGTAAGGTAACAGTAATGACTGATCGCAAATAACAATACAGCGTAAAATATTAACGCATCTTGCGCAACTATGGAAAAGTGTATTCGACAAGTCCCTTGTTCTGTATTGATTTACACTTCTCTCTCGCACGCGAAACTGAAAATGCACTTACGTTCAAGCATTTTGCAAGATGTTGAGTGTCACACCTTTTATCTCTTGTGAGCGAAAGTTAAAGGAGTTTTCTGGTACTCCATTTGCGCGGTCACTTTTTATCAAAGTAAAGCGACGTTTATTTTAAACCTGTATTACTTTACGTTTTTTTTTATGCGTTACAAACTACTCGTATGAATTATTAACGACGGTAGTCACGCACGCAAGAGCTGAACCGTATAGAAAAGTATTGAAGTACCAAAACGAGATAACACACCGTTCATTTTTAACTCCCCTTTTACCATTTTATTCGTCTCACTGTCCGAAAAATGCATGTATTATGTCACGAGAGTCTCGCTAGAATCTCAGTTCTCGAAATTATGAAATAATGTCATGGCGAATATGCACAACACTCTGATTGACTGCAGCCACTGTCGCCACAACGACGGTCACAAAAGCATCTGGAGACACATCGTTTACGCGACACCGTTTCCGTCTGACCTGAATGACGTCACATGGTGATCGAAGGTCACGGTCAATAGATACAACAACTATAACGAGGAGAACGCGCTCCTTTGCAAGTTACGCGAGCTCAATAACATCTCAATGAGATTACATCAGTTTCGTCTAACTTAATGTCTCACTTAACAAACTCCTGCTTATGCCTGTACGTCTGAAATTTAGATTGTATTTATTGGAATAATTTAGATTACGCTTCGGATTTTATCGATCCGCAACTACACCGGTTTCTCAAAATATTTTATCAGATAACAATAAAGTTCCACGTTCGTGAGATTATTCACCGTTTAGCCTCTTAAAATGTCAGTTCAGTACGCGGCGAACAACAGCGAACAGCTGTTTTCTTATGTAGACAACAAGATCTTTGGGTCATGTAAAAACAGGATGTGATTTTTCACGTTGTGACACACATCTCGTTTAAAAATACGGCGAAACCATTTGTCTTCTTGAGATCCGCTTTTCGTCAACAACAAGAACGCGTTCAATCATTTAAATGTTATTTTTTGCAATGTCTCGATTTCGTAGCAGCTCTTTACGTTTTGAAAACGCATCTCAAAATCCTTCTTCACACACCAGCGTTCAATTATTCGCGTAGCAAAGATATTCCTTAAATATTCATCAATGATAAGGGTATCGAAACTTCAAGTCCTCGTTTGGATACCAATAAGCCGTGGTGCATCCGCCGCAGGTGGCAGCGTCTCACGAGGATACCGTTCCACTGTCACTCCTAGTAGCAGTTAAGGGAGGATCGTTATCCACCTCGTCATCCTCCGATTCGCCGCACTCGAGAACAGGTGCCTGCATTGTTGGGCTTTCAATGAGATCGAGACGCGACGATGAGTGGTACGCTTCGCACCATTGATCCTAGGATGTGGCTTTCGAGGGAAAGGACACAAAGTGTCTTTGACGTTGCGATCTGCACGCACTCACAATACCTCCGAGTTTCTGGTTGTCCCTTCGATTCACTGACAAGTGAGCGTCACCAATGTGGGATCTAACGTGTGCCTTGCCGTACAACGAAATGCCGCATCGTCCTTGACATTCGACGAGAGCGTCGCGACAACTGGTACAAAAACTGGTACTGGACTCGAATCACACCCCGAAGAGATGCCTGAATAGCCTCGCGAACAATCCCGCGTGCGTGTGTGTGTGTGTGCGTGTGTGTGATGCGAATGCCGCAATTATCGCTGCTTTCTCACACACATTATGTCCTCAACTGGAACGGCGACGGGAAATCGAGCACCCTCGTAAACAATCTGCCCTCATAAGATATAGAATGGCGGAATCGAACAGCCAAACGGTGGTATTGTCTCAGAGGACAGTGGTAGCTTTTTCGCGGCGCGAGAGAGGAAGACCAGCTCGCAGCTCACTATCCCGTACTGCGGTACACGCTAGCGGTTTTCTCTCGCGCGCCACCCCCTCGCGCCCTACCGGCCGTTGGCAACCCCCGTGTTCCACCTTTTCTCTCTAGCAAGCACCATCAAGCGCGGCTGTCGCGCACCCTCCCTCTCCCTCTCACTCACTCACTCTCTCTCTCCCTCTTTCTATCATCGCGCAGGGTGTAATCGTCGTTGGTCTCGCTCACTCCTGCGGACGTTGTCTCTTCCATCTCCTCGCCGTCCATCGACGCCGTCGTGAAAGGGCGCATACACACGCACATGGCGCTGCCGTTGTCAAGGCGACTGCGCCACTTTCTGGAGTACGTCGGAGATCTACTTCACCTCTCGTCATCTCAGCTTGGCAGTCCGTCATGTCCAAGTTGCTCGTGGATCTCACGTGTCCCGTGAATAACAGATGACCGCGAAATCAAGATAAATGACGATGATGGCACTTGCGATTTATTCACTTTCCCAACGGCGATCGTGTTTCCTTCGTCGTTGTACCTCTTGAGAAGAACGACGTTACCGAGTCACAACCGGGGACGATTTGCAAATTTCTTGTCAAGAGAAAACGCGCATGCTTTTGTGTGTGAGTCTGTTTTTCTCCCTCGATACGTTCCTAAGATCGATAAGTTCAAGCTGTAGCGCATATTTCTTCTGAAATCGTTCGTGCTAACGATTTCGGAATCATTTCTTTTTAACCCACTGCGTTTGTCAAACTGTAATACTGCCTTCCAGTTTTTTTTCTGGTATTCTATTAATTAAATAATTTAAATAATTTTTTGTGTTTGTCAATTTCTCGGCGAATGAGCATCCCTGTTTAATCAGGGAGCGAGATTAACACGCACTCTATGAAAGAGTATGCTTGCACTTTTGGGGCGGTGGGCTATTTTGGTATAACGGAACCGGATGAATGGACGGCTCGGAGAGACAGCATCGATTTGCACCGGGAGCCAAGCCAAACTTGCGTGACGAGCTTGCGCCGTACGCAGGCGGACGGCTTGAAATATAAGTGGCCCACGTGGCTACTGTATGCACTCAGTTTGCGTAATAAAAAGTATGGGCGAAGGATTAACGCTATTAATGGAATGCTTTCATGCTGTTTGTAATCTGATGATCGCCATTTGATCGTAACTTCCTGCTTGTAACGCTTCGTCAATTTTTATATGCGAGAGATCAGAGTCGAAGATTTATGACACGCGAAATAAAACCGCGCTTGTTAGCGTTTGTAATACAAACTTTAGAAATCAAATTATTCCTTTGTTTCTTAAAGCAAGTAAGAACAAAAATTATTGCATAGAGTGTCTTATAAAAATTATACCATATAAAAATATGCACAAATATAAACTAACGTGTTATGGCACCCTTGGTATAGTGCAATTTTCGTAGTTATCAGTTTTTCACATCTCTAAAAATAGCGGAGATATTCGAGGTGGACAAAGTTATTTGCTTCACCCTGTATACATGCACAAATATATATGTATGTATATATGTATGTACATGAGACCAAATCAAATAAAAAAAATATGTAGAAAGGGAAGAGTGTCAATGTGAGCCACGAATGAACAGAAGACGGTTCTCACAAATTAGAAACAAAATTTCTCTTTAATAAAACCTTTCGACCCTCCTTCGGGTCTTCCTCAGTAAAACTCGTTCAAATCGAATATCTTAAGGGATCAGAGTGGTATGTGGATTGAGAGTCATTCCTCTATCAGCGAATTCCAGTGTCTCTAAATGGTCCCAGACATAAAGAGGGCTGAAAGACTCAGGAAACGTTTTATTAAAGAGAAATTTTGTTTCTAATTTGAGAGAACCGTCTTTTGTTGAATATCAATTTGCGAAAATTTGACGCGCTCAGGCAAAGTATAGCGTGGACGTATATTTTATCAGTATCCTAATCATTTATTTATCGGTATATGTGTATAACATTTTACCATTTATGCAATAAACTATTATAAGGTGCGTTACACAGTTGTATTAAATTTCCTGTGTTATTTACTTCATTGACAAATTAAAAATTTTCATTAAATTATTAATCCATTTCAGTAAAGTTCACATGTAAGTTTACATGTAAAATTAAATACAAGAGAAATTGTTATTATCTACTATTTATCTTACAAAAAAATTTAATTAAAGTTATTAAATTTTAAATTGCTTAAACATAGAAGTACCGCATGTTTTATGGCAATTTCATTAAGAAAATATTTATAACATTGATTGACGAAAGAAATTGTGAATAAAAAGATATCATGTATGTACAATAATTCTGAAATATTATAATAAATAAGACTATTAAAAAGAAAATGCAAAATTTTCACATTCATATGCAAATAACGTAATGTATAATCGATTGATGAGGTTGAATAACAGGGCTTTTTCATACATAAAACTTTATAAGGATAATAGTGAGAAGACAAGCATGCATAACAAGCAGAATAGTGTGCAGCTTTATCCCGAAAATGTATCGCCCTTCTGTTGTACATTTATTTTTAGACAGTAGGTTGCACTAATTGGGCAATGGAGACGTAGATTTGTGTTTGTACAGCAGAAACGTAGAGAGAGAGAGGGGGGGGAGAAAGAGCTTGAATAACATAAAATAAATTTTTAAATTAATAAACAATTCGATAATTTTGAACTCAATCCATGTAACCCATATTAATATTATATTTTATGCATTAGGGGAGACCGGGAGCTCGTTGTCACAAGAGGCAAGTTGGCATTGCGCTCCATTTATGTATTATATGGCGAAAAAACCAATACAAAAGTTATCGTAAAATATCTCTTTTATAATGTAGATACTTTTCCCTAAGTTTCATTTAAATCGAATAATTATTACGATAGAAAAAGATCTGATTCACAAGGTGTCAAGTAAATTTTCGAGCATTGAAAAATTTTGCATTAATATCCTTCAATGTGAGAAGTAAATCTAAATGACGTTATTATTAATTAAAAGTAAAGTTTTAGCTACTATACGATATATTATTGTGAATAACAACAATAATTTGTTATTATAAAATGTAGAGAAAGGTTCTATATATCATATTAATACAGTTTAATCATAATAATTAGTTGCTTAAACAGTTAAATGCTAAAATTGTGAAAATTATGCCATTGAGCCCCGGCCTCCCCTACTTCACAAAAGTTGCTTATACTATAAATAATTTTTGCATAAATGCTGCCATATCTAAAACACAATAAAAATTGCAAATTTATTCTATAAAATTTAATATTGTTTTAATGTAGTGTGTAAAATACAAACATTGAGAAACATATAAGATTTAAATTGCTAATGATGTAATAAAATAATCTCAACTGTAGTATTTTTTATTGAAGTACATTCTCATAGTCAACGTTAAATCAAATATCTTTTATACTTTACACAATATGCAGAACATTTAAGATAAAAATATGCAATATTTATGTCTAATTAGTATTTCTTATGTCATGAATAAAACATGCATAAAGTACTGTTCACATTAGCTTTACAACCAATGCAGCTGCAATTTCGCAGGCTTTTATTGCTATTTCTACCGCATGCAATGTATTTAGAATTCAGAATTTAATTATATCAAGCAACCCAAAGCAATTGAATGCACGATTAATTTGGTTTCTAGGCGATAAGCTGCTTTCCGCATAGGGACATACCATAAACGTAAATTTCATTAATGACGTCTTGGGCTACATAAAGGCAGGTAATTTGAAGGTATGAGAACACCATCTTGATGACAAAGTCCATTCAATTCGTGGTCGATAATATTCGCGTGAGAATACATTGAAAACTTCTATAATTAATAGTAGGTACACAAATGCAAAGAACAAAATATTTCAAAAGTTAATTAGTAAATCAGAGATTTATAGCTGCATTAGATCGAAAATATTATATATGTATATTAGA